GAGGCCACAACATCTTGGTCTTCATATCTAAAATAGCTTATGTTAATAAAAGCCATTAAAGCCATTGCAAAATCGATAGTCAGCCAGATATATGGCCATAATTACTGTGTTCAATTACAAAGAGTGTATATCTTTGATAAAAAGCTTGATTATCAATGAATTAAATGCCATGCCTTATTGGAAGCACAAGCCTTACGGACTAAAATATGGGTTCTGCAAGTAAAAGGACTTGGGATATGGGTTGAGCGATCATTCAAATAGATTGCCTTCAATAAAAAACGTAACTGGTCCAAGTAAAAGCCCCAAGACCAGCAAAGAAAGCGCTATGGAGATATAAAAAACGTCCACTCCCAGGACTCTAGTAACTCTAATATTTTAATACCCTATACTTAATGGTAGGTGAATGCAAAGGATCAACTCTCTGTTCTTCTCCCAACTTGGCAGTGAAAAATATAAATTATAAATACCTTAATCGAAGGTGTTAAGACCAAGATGGCGTGATCTCTAATATATTCGAGGTCTCCTTTCGTTATTTTGACTCAGTTTTCACAACTTGGTCGTATTGTCAAGGAGAATAAGATGGACATACCTTGTCCAAAGTCCTCTGCCATAGTATCCATGATAATTTCCAGCGTCCAAATAGGAAAATATCACAGAAGTATCCTTGTATGGTCAGTGAAATTTTTTACATGGAGGTGTGGAATGAGATAATATTGGATTTTGTTGAAAATGTGTTAGTTTTTGAAGGAGGAAAAGTATGATTTAATGGCTCTATGGTAATTGTGGACATGGATAATTTGAGCCATTATGGTGTTTTTAAGCAATTAGGATTAAATGGAAACTATGGTAACGCCTTAGTAAGAATGAAGTTTAGTGCATAGGATAGTGCGAAATTACTTAGCAAAATTCAGCCTCGCCCTCAGTATATTTGTATTAGTTTAACCAGAAGTATACTGCAAAACTATAAGATAAATGGACAACTTGATAGTTTTAACAAGCTTGCAAATATCGTTACTAAAATTTTATCGTCTTGGGATTGACTTACCAAAATTCGGATGAGCCAGCGTCGAGCTCTGTAATGACAAATGTTGAAGGGCTGGAAGAGGTACGCAAGCAGAAAAAGTACCAGAACGAAGGGAGCCGCATATCCAGGGGCTCCAAGGAGAGCGCTGTACAGATAGAAGAGGGCGCTGGTGGCCCAACAGATGAAGAAGAACGAAGCAAGCTGCATAAGAGAAAGAGAGAAGAATACGGTTGCGTTAGGTAGGCTGATCGCAAACTCAAATGCTTCATCTGTTAGATTTAAAATTTTGATGAGTCAGAAAAGTAAATGCTTAGCAGAAGCTTAAATTAGCATGAATGACAGAGAGAAAAGCATGTGAGCTCTGAGAGCCATGACATTGAGAAATAAGGGCTGAATGCAACCGTAGTCACTTGGTGTTCATGGAAAGTTCGCGATGTCATTGAATATGGCGCTTTGGCTGATTATTGACCAGTCTAATCAGCGATAGATACTCGGTCAGATACCGATTCCGTTTTTTTAAGGGTGAATAAAGAGACCAATTTCAAGGTACAGCAAAAAGGAAACTAGTTATCTCAAAGATATAATATTATCACTTGCAGAAACGAAAAATTAAGTAATCAGAATAAACGATAAAAAAGTCATCTTTCCAAATTCAAACAAGTTACTTGTCCTTGTTTACCTGAAAATAGGCATAAATAAGAGGCAAATTAGGCGGCGTCAAAGAAATATGTAGATGAGAGGTCAAAATAAATAAAGGGTACGATGAGTTACTTTTAGAAATTCTAGAAAAAAGTATTCCTACATTCCACAGTCCTCTAAAACACTGTTAAGTCATTTTGTGTTGGTTCGGCCTCGTTTGAGTAACTTGGTCGGAGTGTAGGAGACCCTGTGGAACGTACCTAGTCCCATGTCCTCTGCCTACGGTCGAATTTAATCTTTTTGTTTATCCAAGATCCAACAACAGATATATGGATGAAACTGTTAGCCATTGAAAGCAGTGGTGCTCCTGGAATATTGGTTGGAGTCTCCAAATCGTCTATGGACTTAATGCTCTCTAGACCACATCCGCTCCCTCTTCAGTCATCAATTTCATTCGTCTGCATACATGTGAGTTAGTTAAGAAGTAGCTAACCAAGTTATGGGATGCTTCATTAAGATTGCAAAGTTGGATACAGGAAGTAGGTAGGAGTTAAGCGGACGATCCTACATATTTTAGTGGTTTTTGGTGAATTTTCACAAAGGATCGTTTCTGAACCTGATGTTTATGACATGATGGACGAAAGCCCAACAAGGATTCATTAGTGTCGCAAGGTGGTGATGAGAGGTTTTATTCGCACAATTCAACAATCACAAGTCCAAGTTCTCATTTAGTATCAGCTCAGTACAGCATACGAATTCCGTCCACCCGACTTTTAAAACGAAATAAAAGGTACACCAGCAACAATAAATTTCGGGCTGGGGACCAGAACGAAAGGGCTAATGAAAAGTTCCTACATGAAAAAGCCAGGTGAGCATTGCCATTAAATTGGAGCAGAACTGACGATCGAGATGATTTGCTAAATTTGAAATACTTTACTTTTTTTCTCTTTAGAAGAAGAAGAACAAATGATATTCACAGTTGGCAAATTTATGCTCGGGTATCCTTTATTGCATCCTTCTCCTTCAGTCTCTTCTCGTAGTTTATATGATAATTTGGAATAGCACATAAACTTTAGATCTCAAAATAAACTGAGCGCTTGGTGAATAGTTGAGAAAAGCCATAGAAAACTCTAAAGTGTATTGCTTAAAAATAAAAAGGTATTTCTTATAAAGCAGCTCATCATATAAGCTTTACAAGTTGGCCGCCAAAGCACATCAAAAAAGGCAAAAAATCTAAATAAAACGGGGATTAGAAGAAAAGTAGTTTTAACCATTTTTTGATAAGAGGATTTGATGCTTGTTTTCCTTAAATAGCGCAAACTAATGGCTGGTAAAGCAACCTATATTTGGGTAGTTATAGCTATCTACGATGGAGTACATCTTTAAGTTCCCACCCAGTTGCTTGCTCAAAGTCTCTTGGACCGTGTATTCATCCAAAGTAGTCTGGTAGGTCGGCCTGTAGTATATTAAAGTAAACATTTTAGGCTATCAAGAATAAAGGCAATTTCTGAAATGAAATACACGTTAAGCGACATCCTCATCAGGACAATTCATCTGCAAATATGATAGGAGAATAAATCGGCCAACAAAATTATCAGAATCCTTATCAAGATAAAAAATAAGACATTTCAGCCGTTTATGAATCTAGGTTAAATTTATCAAAAAAATTGTTAATTTCGTTAACGATACCATCCTCGGCCAGAATAAAAGTCAAAAGGGTCTCAGGATTGCTAAGCTAAAATAGACAGTCGCAGCCCTATGGCAACATTTATACTTCATCATTTTGAAACATATGAATGGAAGCTCATGAATAATATTGCTAACCACAGAGTAGGTCAGTAAACGACTAATCCCTTTTTCAACAAAGGAAGTAAACTTATATTGCGATACAACTAACCACCCTACGCGTATACACGCACATATGCACACAAACACATAAAAACAAATACATACATACGCACACACAAACCCAAATAAACAAATATGAAAATCACTATAGATGGGAAATCTGGGGAGATGTTATAGTTACTTGATTACGAATAGCAATGGAAGCTCTGTGTGTAATTCCTCTTTTATACATTGGCAGAGCAAGAATAAAAGTAAGGGTATCATAAGGTCTGGGTATGTATGTTTATGAAGCAGGGCCACCTGTGAAACAATCCTATACAAAAAAGGCAACATCAAATATAATAGTAGGGACAAGACATAAATGCAAAATAAGACACACTATGGAAAGGAAGAAAAAATAAGAAGAATATTAAAGAAAAAAAGGAAGAAAGTGGATAGCATATTTGGAAAAGTGAAAACTGATCATTGTATCGCACTCAATACGATATGGACTGTAATGTATCTATGCATGTGTGTGTGTGTGTGTGCATGCATAGGAAGGAGGAGAAACCCCAAAGGGGGACTGCTGTTTAGGCCTTGCTACATACGTGAATATGAGCACGCGAAGAGGTGTCCGTACCTGTATGCATGTGAAGAACGGTATATAACGGAGCTGGATTCATTGGCTCGCTCAGCAGAATTCGGCCAAAGGGGGCAAGTGACTGGGGATTAAAAAGGCTACCAACACTGAAACGCGTGAAAGAAGACGGAGGTCTTGGCTAATATAAGACCACGCCACATCATCCAACGACATTCGCCTACCACTACAAAAGACTGTCTAAAAGAGGCCCGGCGGTTTGACGACCGACTCGATTGACTTATTCCTGTGTGGATATTCCTGAGAGAAAACAGGTGAGCAGAAAGTTCAGTTTTACTTGTTACATTTCCAAACCATCTTTAATGACCAGATGAGATTGGCTTAGCAACTGCAACGTTAGGGATAAACGAGCTAGACAGAAATGTGCAAGGAAGATTTGAATAAGCTTTAGGCTCAATTGCATGTTTAAAAATGCTTTGATATAAAATATTCATTTGGTTTTAAAAGTTGAATGAAAGGGATTAATAAATTGGCAGCATCAGATACCGAAGGA